TCCCATTCTGCTTTGCATTTGAACACAGTCAAAGGTTGCAATGTGCTAAAATTAACAGGTATATTTAAGTATCCAATAGAAGTGCACAAGCAAACGCACTTATTGGTACCCTCAGTGGATAGGGACTGGCAGACCGGTTCATTTGTGGCCAACTATAATTTCAGTCTCCACATCAGCAATGCTCTCCCCACCAGACAAGAACTGCCAAAACAATGATGGACACAGATGATGCCTTCATGATAGTAGGAAGAACCACAAAAACAACCAGTAGAGCAACCATCTAAGTAAGACCTGTGAATCCTCTGGAGTGACGGTGCTTCTGTAAACGAGGAGACACGGCGAACAACCAAAGTGCTGATTCTTTCAAAGGCTGATTTTTTTTTTTTCCTTCATTAAAAATTCCAAGACATGACAAAAGTTAACTCTCCAACACGAGAAAACACATGACAAATCTGTTTTTGTGTCTCACTAAGCCCAACTGAAAACATGTAAGTATCATAACCCCCAAGAAGTTACGGTTCTTTAGGTTTACCAGAGGACACAGTCAAAGTTCAAACACAGTCAGTCACATTTTCTGGCATTCGTGAGGAATGATAACTAATCCTCCGACAGGGCTAAAGGATTGAATATATTCTATTCTGATAAGATACAAGGGAGACAACACACACAGAGAGGCTCTCCTGTCTGTCTCTCTAAACTCAGAGCTACTGAAGCTTTGCTACACGGGACTGAAAATAAGCTAACTTGATGGAGGGGGGCGGTAGTAAAGGTCATCCAATTTGAGGGACTTCTTAAGATTAATAGCATTTCAAGGAGACCTAAAAATTACAGCCAGATATAGCCAAATGGATAAGGATTTGAGTTATATGTTGTGAGAATAAATAAGGCAGATGATTCATCTTTAAAATTCAGATAGTCAGGTCAGGTTTAGAGGCCCAGAGCACACAGCAACAACATCCGGCACATCCAGTATTACTGCAGCAGCCAGCAGCACAGAGCAAAACATTAGATATATTATAGTACACATATACAAAATTATAAGCACACAAAGATATATTTATTTTCAATTTAAATATATAGTGTAGTGTATTTTGCATTGTTTTTTTTTTTGGGGGGGGGGGGGGGGGTCATTAATGTGTTCTGCGCCATCTCAGTGGCCATTTTTCATTTCATTGCACATCCTAAATGTGCATGTAAAAGTTCTTGAATAAGAGCAGGTGGCAGAAATGAAACATCTTTCTGTGGAACAGGTGTGACAGATTAAAGTCCTGTTCATGACCAGCAGTGAATTCTTCCAAAGCCATTCTTTACTGGACAGGAACTTTTTTCATACCACCTCAGAAGCGAGAGCGGATGGCCAGTTGGCCAATAGCAAAAAAAGTGAATAGTTTGTCACTTTGGGAAATGTGCATGCATTTTGGAGCTCTTGCCATAAAGTGACTAGATTAGCTGTTCATTAAGATCTGAAATCAGGAGGAAGAACTTAGCCTGGTTCACTCCGAAAATATTCTAACGAGCATGTCTACAAGTTGACAGAACATTAATATGATCTTATATTTCATCCGTGCACTAACAGTGATGTAAAGATGACTTGCAGTGTTGGAGGGCGCTGAATGAATGGTGTCATTATTTCTTAATAGCTACAGTTTATCCATCCACCCAAGCTCCCTTAGCTAAGCTAATCACCTCCTGGCTCAACACAGATATGAGAGTGTTGTGGACCATTTTGAATAACTCTCAGTAAGAAAACAAATAAACCTATTTCCCCACATGTCAAACTATTTCTTTAAACCATCAAACCAAAAAAATAAAAAAATAAATCAAGCTTAGCTTGCGGAATTGCAGTGTTCTTTTTAAAAATAAGAGATAATTATCATTTTCCCCAGCACTAAATGGAGTGTCAACAAATGATAAGCATACTCAGCAAATGCCAGTACTTACCAAATAGCTGGTTGGCTCAGAGTTATGAAACACAGGTCAGAGAGATAATCATTGTGTCTCCGGATTCCACCTCTACGATTCTTTTTATAGACTTTTTTCTTCTGCTTACTGTGAGTAATGTCAGTGGATGGTGAGGTATCCCATGACTCCAACTGAGGAGAATCTAGAAGTAAACACTATCTTCATGGTAATGACTGTTGTCTTTCAAGCATGTGATGTTATCCATGTAAAAATGACACGTCAGAGGTGCTGATACCTGTAATTGCAATCTGATCCCGCTGCATGTTTTTGTAGTTTTAGTGAGCTCTGCAGGCTGCTTATTTTGATGGTGGCATCATTCCTCATTTACTGGCACACAAACCCAACCAAAGAAGAAGTTGTTTCTGTTTGAATGCTTTTACCCCCCACATCTCATACAGATATTGGCTGTCTATTTCTGATGACGAACCGCTTGGCTCAGCATACAAGAGAGGGAGTTTGTCTCTACCTGCACATTTTAACGGCCAACATTTTTTAGCTGTTTTGACACACACACACACACACACACACACACACACACCCCCACACACAGGAAAGTGTGTCCAAACTGTACACACAGATCGGGTAGTAATAATGTTTTAACAGTCCTTAAAGGGGAACACTTCAGTTAAAAAATGGATAGCATTAGAAGACACACGTCACAGGAGTCCCAAATTGACGTTTGAGTTGAAGTGTAGCTCATGCAATTGGTCTCACAATATGTATTTAGTGGGTGAGTGGGCCCCACAAATCAAACGAATAAAGCAAATCTCCTTTCAGCCACAAGTAAGACAAAGTACCATCTCCTCTGTGAGCTAGCCCCTGTTTCTGTGGTATCTTTAAGCTTAATGGATTTCATCTATTAAATCTGGGATCATTTGGTACAAAACTTTTATCTTACACACTGCTGTTTTAAGAGCAGGTTCTGCTGGATCTCCATAATGTATTTCTTGGGACAAACTGTTGAAAATAGTTCAAAAGTAAAACATTTTACACACACACAGTATTGCACAGGTTACGAGTGAGGTGTTACTGCAGTAATGGTGGCTTGTTCACCTTGGACTACTTTCCTACAGCAGAGTGCATTACAGTCTATGGTGTATGTTAGCAGTTTTGTCCTGCTCTTTACTGGATTAGGAAAACTTTACCCGAAACACCTTTGAAGAGATGCACGTAAGCACTAGCGGGACCTCTGGCAGAGACACAGTTTATGCACACTGTCTCCGTGTCTGACTTTAATTAAAATTGTTTTTAACAGAACCATTTTATGCTCGCACATGACCAAACTTCAATACATCTATATCTGATCCACTGTTACCATAAAAATGTATCACAGTAGACTTAAGTGAACTAATAGTACATATTAATACTTTCACTTACATATGATATTCTAGCACTACCTCCAGGCCTCAGCATACCAGTCCAGGAACTGCTGCCCAGTTGTTCACCATTAAAAAACAGATTAGCCATCGATTCATAGGTCTTCTTTCTGCTAGTAATCAATGGCAGAGGAAAGGTTTCCACTCCCTGAAACCTACTCTACAAAAGGCTGAATTCAGGAGCTCTCCTTGATTTATTTTCTCATCCGCACCCTGATTCAACACACTGCGGATGCCCCAGCATGCATCCAACATCAAGCAGACACAGCTGTGTTTTGTTTTTTTTTTCTCTCACCAAAACACTAACAATCAGCTGTTAGTTAGCTGTAAGGATCTAAATCCTGGGGACCTGTGGGGGCTCTTAACGCTGAAGAGCCACACAAAACCTTGTCTTCAAAACAAGCCCTGAAAGCAGCTGCTTGAAGCCACTTGAATGTGTAAATGTTGTCAGGTCAACATACATGACTGTCACAACTGGATATTGCCGTGCATGTGAACAGCATGTGAATACTTGACAGCTTTGCTAAAACATTTATCTGTTTAATTTATAAGGGCATTTCCTCAGCTTTCAGCTTTGTTGCCAAATTTAGTGACACCCAGATTAAGTCAGATTGAGTGCTAGAGACCTCAAACATACCTCAGCAACTCCTGTGCAAATAAACACCTGCAAGTTTCTAAGGAACTTTATTAGTCTACACACAGTGATAGGATCAAGGTGTGGCCTTGTGTCTGCAGTATCCATCCAGACAAACCTGAGGTCTTTGTCTACAGCGGTCAAGTTCAGTCAAGCCTCAAAGAGCGAAGGAGAGGGTGGAGTCATCCGGTGTTTGTTTTACCTCGGGCTCTGTAAGGTGCACAGGTGCAGCTCACGTACCTTTGTTAAGTCAGACACCTCACAATTCGCATATAAATTCCCTTCTTCCTTGAACATGGAAGAATCAAGTGTGTTTTTTAAGGTTTCAGCAATATATAACATGGGTGTACTTCTCATACAGGCAAAAGGTGAGAACATCTTTGGCAAATTAACATGATTCTGATGATTCATATTTTTTTTTTTTCATACCCCAGATACCCAGCAGTAATTTCATTTACATGTTTATGTTATCATAGTTTATAGTTGCATATGTTTCACCTCTCAGAAGACTTTTTTTTTTTTTACAAGAGAACTATTAAAAAAAACCTCTGCCAGTGAGCCATATAATATGTAAAGCAGTATTATCTTTTTCAGTAGTAATGAGTTTGTTGTTACTAGCAATCCTCTGACTGCCTGTGTGTCTGTCAGCCAAACGTTAATGAGGACCACACTCACTAATTGCTGCATGTTGAAGTATTGACACATAAAACACTGATGTGAGCCACAGCCACTGATTCAAAAAACATTTTACACTCCATGTTGCAGGAAGCGAGAGCCCAGCTCTTTCCTACTGAACAGCAGCTGACACACAACTAGGCCTGACTGGTGTATCTGAGGACTTGTTTCTTTTAAGTAAATGATTTAATGCCCATTGCAACATGTTTCAAAACACCATTCAAAACTAATTTCGTACAGTATATCAACCTCCATCTAATAGACAAGCTTCAAAAAAAGCAGAGCTGCCACAGTGACAAAAAGACTCCAGCACAGGATCTTATTAAAGCTAGAGGGTACAAACAAGACTATGGTTCTGAAGAGGTTAAAACAAGATACTTTTATTGTAAGGCGTTATCTATACTTCATACAATAGGATCTTAGTAAAAGAATGCAAAACAATGATGACAGAACAGGCTTCCCTAAAAGGAATAATACAACTTCTTGAATGTCACTCTTTGACAGAGCTGCGGGGGAGGAAAAAAAAATCCTTGAGTGTCCACATACCAATGACAGTCCCACGTGTGAATGCTATACAAAAATGTAATTGGTGTTCATTCCAACAAGAAGAACTGATCAGTTCATTCAAAAGCTCACTCTTACATATATCTGCAGTAAAGTGGTTTACATTTCTCATAACAAAAGGTTCGCATTTCAAAGAAATACTGCAATTTTGCTTGCTTGCTATGTTGTTACACTGAAATAACGACAACATTTTAGAAATATGTTTTAATGACCTCAGTGTTCTGGGCAGCAGCTGCATATATTTCTTAATGGTGAAAGTGGCTTTCAGGAGTATTACCTGTGTTTCAACATGTCTTTGCTGCGGCTCGGATAACAACTTCTCGGTTTCACCTGCACCTGCCTCTTCCTGTCAGACTGCTCTGTTTTAAACCTAAAGCAAAGACAAGTTCATCACTTGTTTTTCTCTGACAAGTCCTCTAACATGTCAAAATAAGCCAAAAGGCACTTTGGGTCTGAAGAGAACCTACTTTCCGTGAAGCACAGTTCCAGTAATGCTTGGCACGAACATGAATAAACACACATGTTCCCATTTACCCAATAAGGAGACACGCATGTGCATGCATACACACTCATATGGTGCAGCTTTGGGACAACAGTTTTATTTATGGGGTAAAAAGGAGCAAGTCTGGAAAATAAACCCACGCTATTTCTGTCAACAGGACACTGCTGAGCACTTAGATCATTATTTAGAACCAGCTGCAGAGTTGGCAGTGGAGATGTGGGTCAGAGGGGCAGGAGGACTCGGAAGTACTTGGCCTTGTTAAAAACTGTAAGGACAAAAGAGCCCAAGCAACAATGGATTTTTGAGACAGATGGTGATATCAGTACTTCAATGATATCCGATATATCAGATGATTTTGAACACTTACTTAACATAAGAACACATTTTGGACGATCACCCATTAAATTTGGTTGTGAAAAGATATGACCTGAGGAAAACTATTTTGCAGTTGAATAAACAGAGATGATTATATTTTAGCTTAAGGGATAGGACCTTTCACACTTTTTTCCAAGTCTGTCTTTAAACAATAGTCACATGTCCATATTTAACAATAAAAGAGTTATTAGAATACTCGTTCTTTCTGTTTTATCTGCAAAATTCCAAAAAGCAACAACAGCATTAAACAGCTTAAATTAAGCAATTAAAAATAATAACTAGAAAATAAAAACACAAAACAAAACCATTTAAAAAAGGTTGAAAAATTCATCAGATTCTTCCTGCAATTTTTGTTTCTCTATATCTTTGCACGTATACATCTGTAGAAAGCCAGTAATGCTCGGTAACACCTGCCTGTACATATATCAGAACGGCTCTATAGGAGAGTTAAGAGACTTATGATCAATATACATACAATGTTTGAATCAGTTCTAATGCTACATTATACAAATCTAGGGCTGGATAATAAAACAACAACTATATAATAAATGTATATAAATAAATTTTATTCACTTGAATGATAAACAAATTCATTTTTATATAATGATATTTATCTTGTGGAGGAAAAATGACAAAAAGCTTTTACATATTTTTACTCATGCATTTGTGTTGACAAAGATTTTATCATAATTGCTATGAATGTTCTGCCTCAGATTTGTGAAGTGATCCACTGTTTATCAGCAAGTGTTGCTCATAAAGAAGAGTTTAAACCACATTAACCAAAAATCCTCCTTTAAACTCGAAAGAAATTACGTTTTTAAACTTATTCGTGATAATTATCGATATTGAAAGACATGAAACATTTTATATCAACATTTTTGGCCATATCGTCCAGCCCTATACAAATCCTGACAGAGTCCATAAAGCACACGCCTGTCTGCATGTCAGTCACCTTGAAGATACTCCTCAGAACAGATACAGACATAAACATAAAGACAGACGGCCGTGTAGAAACTAAGGATAAGATTACCAGAACATTCAGAGACAGACAGTCATCCAATACAGGTCATCTGACCCCAGATACAGCACATACTCCTCCCAGCTTCCTGCTCCTAACTACCTCTCCTATATAGAGCAGACTGTCCAGACACAAATTTTAGGGAGCTGTATTACTTTGGTTCATCTTTGTCTTTCTGGGTGCTTTTGTTGTCATTGCTCATCAGAATCTCCAGAAAATCACTTTGTCTCTATACACAAAATCTTCTTTTCTTTGTTTTTTTTAGATATTCAGTGTTTATAAGTTGTTTGTTTTGTAACCACTCAGTCATTCAACATACAAATAATTCACATTACCCAGGAAGACCCAAACCCCTCTTCCACCCTCCATCCCTTCCCTTGCATGGGACATCTAATTATCAAAAAAAGAAAAATTGTTGTCTGGTCATTGTTTAGTAACTTCCAATTTTTCCATCTAATTTTAAGATAGGTGTCAGCAATATGGTCATGCTTTCTTCTTAATTCACAACAGAAAACATCTGCTGTACTAAAACACTTGGAAAATCTACTATTTACAAAGAGTGATTCATTTTATATTTCCAGCAGTGTGTCAGGTTCTGTTTATTCATTCCAAGTTAGAGTGTTTTAGTTTAGAATAAATAGAAGAAGAACTGGGTAGTTTAAAGGGCTGGGTATTGTTTGCAATATTTCAAAACTAATTCAGATACTATACAGTAAGACATAGCATACTTACTCTACACGCAACTAAGAGGCTGATTACACCAAGCAACACCACCAGCTGGATGCTTCAGCCAATGTTGAAGTGCTTTAGAAAGCAGTTCTTCTAAAGGCCACTAGTTGCATGCTACAAAAAACAAAAAAACTACACCTGCTTGAAAAATATCTACTTCCTCAATTGACAAATCTCTCTGAATGTCACACTCTTTGGTTCAGGACGCTGGTCATTCATGTAACATGTATTTTTAACACTGGCTTAATGCGCTGAGTAGGTTCAATAAAAAAATGACCTAGAACCAAAACCTTAGTTAGCCATTGCACAATCCAGTGTAAACTCCATATAGACCGACAAACACAAAAACGGCTCAGAGAATTCTACTAACCCATTGTAAAGCAAACCAGCAGTAAAGTCATCTTCATATTTATAAAAAGTGAGTTTACTTGAGCTGCCACAAAGATAACTTATCACAGCCTCACGTCACAAAAACCTTTGAGACACTCATGGCAAAGTTGTAATGAGTCAGTTTTTGCTGGGAAGAGGAGAAAAATAGCTAATAAATATAAAATATTGCCATAATTTTAGGTTCTTTTCCCCACCAATCAAGCATTTGGGAGTCTTGCAGTAATGTTCCTGGTACAACTTCATAAAACTCAAAGGCATACTGGGGAGCTGTGTGTTGCAGTGGTTTTGGCTGATTTAGTTGCCACGTGTCACCACAGTGCATACGCACCCATTATACACACACACACACACACACACACACACACCAGCCAGTCTGCCCAGCAGGTGTGAGCCACAGCTGGGTGTGGAGTGCTGCCTGCTTCCGTCCCTCTGTCCTCACATTCAACTCTGACTGGATAACTGATTCGGGAGAGTAGAGAGTCGATGTAGTTTGTTTACTTCAACTTATCGTGACTAGAAGAAATTAATTGGTGTCCTCATCCAGTTAAACAAATGCAAAAAAGTATTCATCCAACTTAACTTTAATGAGATATTAACAGTGTTACATATGAATCAATTTAAATACAAAAAACCTGTTCAAACTAGATTCTTTAAGCATTAAAGTTCATTTTGACCTCAGTGAAAGTAGCTTATCAAAAACAATCTCAACTCAAGCTCCACTTACTAGCTTTTTTCCTCAAGCCATCTCCATGACAACTAGGCAAATGTTATCCACGGATGTCTAGTATGTGAACTTTGAGTTTTCTCGAACTAGCTTCTTAGAAAATCTTTGTCATCATTATAAAAATCATTAAAAAGCACCATCATTTGTGTGACACAATTAAATGTGTCTAATTTGCCCTTTTCATCTCATTTTCTCTCCACAAAGGATGAGAATTAAATTTAAGCAAAGCACAGCAGAGTACTGCTCAGGAAGATGAAGAAGGACGCACCAAAACAAACTGCGGCTGAGAGATAACCGTGGAGCTCAAAATACTGACAGAATGATAATATCAGGAGATACACAGAAACAACTACACTGCAGCTCACTGAAATACATAAACAATATTCAGTAATACAGAGATTCACAGTCCGATAGCTACACCTCAGTGAGCTCCATGGGAAACTACCTTCAGACATTTAAGGAGATGAAGAGTGATTTAGAATGGGGGGAGAAACACTGAGGACACCATGCCAGCTGATTTCCTCTTTAATAAAACCTGCTGCGCCTTTAGGCGGTTTATAGGTCTGAACTCTCCAAATTTTGCTCTCTGCAGAGTGTGACTAATCCAGGTGGAGCTCAATGCCGTTTACAAGATATTCTTGCTTGCTATGGGGCTCGAAACAGACCTTAATAATATTTCTTGTGGGTTTTAAGAAAACGTGCAGGCACAGAATAGGTTTTACAGCATGCCTTACCCACAGGGCACTCCACAATAATTAACTGACAGATTCAGAGGAGCCAGGGGAGGAAAGTGTGGAGGAGGCGTACCGTTTGGTATCATTAGGAACTCATTATGGCTCCACACTGGGCAACCACGCTGAGAAAGGAGAAGGGAAGAGCAGCAGAAGGTAGTGGACTGTTAAGATTTAATGACTGCTTATGGATGATCGGCACAAACAAACAGCCACTCTGCATCTGTGCATTTAGTGTGTCCAGCCTTGCTGCTGACTAAACGAAAGACTTCTGTGTCTGCTGGGTATGGATAAATAGAGGCAGGCATTGTGTTAGGGGATTGCGCCAAAGTTGGCCCCACTGTCACAATGCGCTCTCTGTGGTTTCACAGGAAAAGCCGTTGGCTTGGGGATGAGCCAGTGGGCCAGTTGCACCAGAACGCTCACTGTTGGACCCAATGTTCTGGGAACACAACAGCCTCGGTCTGTTTGGTATAGCTGAGAAGATACACTGAGCCAAACCTGCCTTTCTTTGGACATGAGAGTAAAGCAGGGACAGCTCAGTGAGAGGAAAAGGATTTTAAGTTGGCATCAGCACATGAATCACTGATTAACAGAACTTTTACGCCCCAGAATGGCAAAATGAAGATAATTGAAGGCCACAGTGCTTCAGCTCAAAGCTTAGTTTATAGTGAGACACACCATATTATCTCAGTGGTTTTTTACTTGTCACACATCTCTTGTGTGGTCCTCTCTATTCCAGAAAACTTGTCTCTCGACCTCTCTCAGGTCCTTCATCAGTCCAAGTCAAGCATCATACCAAAACAAGCCCTCCGAGGCAGACACAAAACAAAACACGAGCTGAACATTTGAACATCTACTATTGCAGCTGCTCCTCTGAACTTCTTCTGGGAGCACAGCCAGCAGCCGTGCAGGTGACTGGGGTGGGTCGTACTGGAGTCAGGAGAAGGCCAAACCATCAAGACACACCCAGAGCAGGTATGGAAACGTGACTCAACATCATGAATGTGCATTATTTTTAATTATAACCCACAGCAAGCAGCAGATCTGAAGAGTTTACAGTGTGTTTGATGTCAGCTTGTATTCTCATTAATTTCAATGCTCAGGGAGGTGCGGTCCCTCAACAGCTGTAGTTCAAACCACCACCTCACTACAAGCAGAGCAACTCAATGGAATCGCATGCAAGGAGTCTCTTAACGTCACCCAGACAGCAGAATTCAAATCCACAACTCAGAGCAACTCAGCTTCGGTGGAAATGACAATCTGTGGATGATATTCCTACCTGAGCAGAGGATGCCTTTGTGTCGGGCACAAGAGAAGTCGTCACACTCGCAGAAGATGCCGTAAATTTGCCAAACTCCGACTCATAGCACAGACACTGGTTGCAGCTGCACTCTCCTCGCCCGCTGCAGATCTGCTTGCCATCGGCTTCCCGGCAGGCGCTGAGGTACATGCTGCTGACCTCGCCCTCCTGACACTCACAGCGGGCGCCCAGGTAGCCCGGCTCACAGTGACAAGCCCCACAGTTATAAGTACCTGTGAGGGAAAGAGTTACTCTATTTTACTGGCCGATTACGAATACAGATGCATGACTTCCAGGTCCCTGTATAATTTACTCTGCAGGGTTATTCAGCCACACCTACAGTATCAAATTCTGTTTCTAGCATGACCATTTCAAGTCTTCTAGAGAGAGTTCAGACATTCCTGAATCTGAAAAGTTTCCAGAGGTTTAAGTGTTTAGTGTTTTAAACTTGCCCACTTTGCCAGTTATTTAAGTCACTACTTCTAAAATGTGCACAGAAATAATATTATGCATTCCTGAAAGAAAAATGGATGACAACTGATATAACTCATACCCTTACAGTTTTTCAAATATCTATACAGCTCTAAATATAGTCAGAGTATAATTTTGGCTTTTATGACCATCAATTTCTCAACAACAACCACAAGTGACAGCCTCTGTACGTGCCAAGGAAAGTAGTAAATTAACTGGGAAAACGTAGGAGTTTTCCGAAGTCAAAATATCAGGTATGACACCACTGATTGAGGTGTTCAGCTTCCTTGAAAGTTTCAACCAGTAGGAAGCAGTACAGCAGTGGTTTTCTGCCCTGTGTGATTAACAAGGCTCATGACTTTTGGTTTTTACCAACTTGCAGGCTTACAGGAGCTGATTTTCACATGGCTTTACATGTCCCCTTGTTTTCAAAATGACTGCTTTTCCTACTGCAAGAAGATGTCGCTCTCTGCAGTTTGATTAACATTAAGTAACGTCCCCGGGCAAGAGAAAAGGGTAAACTAGCTCCTAATCAGGTACCAGGGTCTACGTTTGTAAAAAAGAAACTTGTAATTAAACAGGTGTTTCTAAAATGATTGGGCTGTTATTGTTATTGCTTTAATATTTAGCTCCTGTATATCCACGTGAAATGTGCACAAATAAAAGGGGAAAACGCAGGATGAACTACCTATGGAGCTGCAGATGCTGCTGTTGGTTTGGGCTTTCTGGCTGCAGCCGCAGTCACACTGATAATCCACAGACACCTCCAGACGGTCTTTGAAGCCCACCGGCTTGATGGTAAAGCTCTGGTCAGTGCCGCGGGGAGGGCAGCTCCTCGCTTCTACACTTATGTTGAACGATACCTACAATAGATTAAAAAAAAGTGGTGTAATTAGAGAAGAAAATGTAAATACGGGCACTGATGGAGGAAAGATCGTGACTTCCTGTTTGGGAAGGGTTCAGTTCAAGTTCAGATGATTTGAGAGATTTTATAGAATAGCAACATCATACAGCCTCTAAATCACAATATCTTCAACCACCTTCTATATTTCTAAGTGACCTGTACCCACCCCACATCTCTTAGCGGCTGCCAGCTATCTTGTGGACATGAACTACACATGACCCTGTGTTGTGTTTACACCAGTGGGCTTATTTCAAGTTTATGTTTACAGTTTGCAGCTGATGTGGTTTTGCCTGCACAGAAAGTGGGACACAAGACCTACACCCATTTGATTGCTCTGAGAAAGGAAGTCTCGACTACAAGAGAATCCCAATCCCAGCTGTTTTTTCTGCTCCAACATGAGCACGTTCTTCTGGTATTTTCCTAATATTTTCTCAGTCACAGCTATCCTTGACGTCGTCTGTTCAATGTAGAGCTCAGGGGCTTTTCTTTGATGTTGCCTTCTGACTCAAACAGAAAAAAAAACTTTGCAGCTACAAATTTGCATTTCTGGCTCCTGAAATAGGCTTAATGCAGGCTTTCACCCTAAACACCACTTATGTATGAAAGTACGACAAAGTGCTAAGAAGAAAACCACCCAGTGGACAGTGACATGTTCTACTGGTTTGGCTTGGTACTTGGATTTCAGCTCATTGAATCTGAACGTGCCAGATTCCAACTTAAATTTGAGGGTGTTTATAGCCATTTCAGCCATTTAACCTGTGTAATTATTGTAGCTCTTTTCATACATAGACAAATACAGATAGACAAATCCACAGGCAGAGAGACAGATTACAGAGAATACAAAGCTGTAGAAAGAGGGGGGGAAAGGTTGCATATTATCATTTATTTCAGTTCAGAGTTCAAAACTGTTAAAGAGGGAGGGCTATATTCTCTGCTTTGAAGTGATGACCAGAAGCACACTAAAATAAACTGAAATCTTGCACCAAAAGCAAATATTCCACCCTTGCAGCACCTGCTGTTCTTGGCAGAACTATTGTGTGTTTGGATCTGGATCTCCAAAGTAAAGGGCTTCCCCCCTTGTCTCCTGTGTTTCAAGACCAAATATGTCACAACCTGGGCAAGGCATGTCCTGTTCCAAATGTGTTGGATAAACACAGCCTTCCTCTGCCGAGATTTGGCAGACACAACCAGTGTACCCTTGGCATCAAGAAGAATTTGCATAAACTAATTAATTAACAAAATATCAAACTGTTAATATGTTACATGAACAGGACCAATGAAAAGGTTACTGCAAAGTGTAAATAATGGAGGCCAAGCATAAACTATTGTTACAGGCTGTGCTGTAATTGAAACCGAAGTTAAAAAGGTTAGTTAAATACACTGTTGGCCTGTTGTCAATCATGGATTGATGTAATTATTGCACAACTTCCAGGTCACATCACACAACTTATTAACTTATTAAGTAAACATCAGTGACAAGTACAGCTGGTGCATAATGCTACAGAAAGAATCTTATGCAAATCCAGCAGCACAACTCACATCTCCCAATCCTGACTTGACTTCTAGGCTTCCAGTTTCTCTAAGGTCTTATGCAGGACTTACAATCTGTCACTCAGTCACACTCAAAACAATCTGTAATGTTGACTGTTGTACAGACAGGCTTTGTGACACTAACTAACAAGACTGCCACTTTCCAAACAGGCACTCACATCTACCGTAATTATGTTTTACTCACATGACTCTCATTTTTGTCACATGTCATATCTCTTTGGGAAAAGTAATTTAGACAGATTAGATAGAGTGGCTGATTATTTCAACAGGATATTTTATCATGCAACAACACGTACCAATACTAATGAGGGAACATTTGTTGTACTTCAGTCCGGCATACAACACAAGGTGATTCAGGATACAGGAAGCAACTATGTCACATGTTGCCCGGACTCCCCCCTCCACGTCAGCGCGGGAAGCTTAACAAGTTAATGAGGGGCACAATTAAATTTACTGTAAATCTGAGTCGCGAGGAGACCGTTCACCCAATCATGTGGCTTGTTAGGACAACTATGAGGTTGTGGAGAAAATAGGGAGTGAAAATTTGGGTGGAAGAAGTAGTAGTAATAATAATAATAATAATAACAATAATGGACACTGGGGGGACGGGGGAGGAAAGAATGAGGATACGATACATTGAGACTAAAGTCAATGAGAAATGTATGGAATCCGATCAGGGAAGGGCAAGAAACAGACAGCGGGTTAGGTTATACTAAGAGGTGGACAACTGAAATATGTGTAGACAATGATGGTCTGACAGAAACACTGAAAATTGTATTTCAAAAATTATTTCAGAAAAACCCAATCAAATGCTTCTGGTTTGTCTGGACAAACATACTTGAAAAAAGAAAAAAGGAGCTATGGTATGTTAGCACAGACTTGGTTTCATTCATATGCATGAGCCTATTCAGTAGTCATACATTTCTGTATTGTTACAGCGAAAAGGATTGCGGCTTAACTATATACACTCCAGCTAGCATTTCTCCTTCTGCCGCTTTGCTTCTTTCAAGGCTTGCAGTTTCACAGGCCTCCTCCTGCCTACTTTTGTGCAAGGTCATTGAGATGCAACATGAGGCTCGATGGCAAGCTCACACAGACACAGTGACTGACACCTGGGTCATATCCTCAGTAAAGACTGGGGAGCTTGGCACCCGGCAGACTGAGCTGCTACCCTCCCCTCTCCTTTCACTGCTGAGGATAAAAGACATGAGCAAGGCCCGTCACCCGAGAGCCCCTTTCCATTCACTGGTGTTATTCTGCCTCAATAACCCTCAGCTCCTCCACCACCCGTTCCCATCCCAAAACCGTCCCAGGAAAATAAAGCAGCAGAGAGAAGAGCACGGGGGGTTTTAGGAGAAGAATTCCACAACGTTGAAGCTCACTGTGTGACAGCATGTATGAAGCTGCCCCTTGCTAGCATTTTCAATGGATCCAGGACTCAACACAAATCTTAATTGAGGGCTGTAAAGAATATAAAGTGACCACCACAGAGGGTTCTGTGCAAAATTCAAAACAATTAAGATGTACCATCATCCTGTGTCACCTGACCTCTGCTTTTTTTTTTTTTTCTTTCCAGAGAGACAGCAACAGAGAAAGTATCCCAACTGCAGTAACTACAGCTAAAGCTTGCAGCCATCTTCAAACATTTAATACAATATTCTTATGTACAAGACATACTCATACTGCGTGTGTCTCATCTATCAGCGCACCATCCACAGAGTCCAATTGAAGGTAAGAAAAAAAGAGTACTTAACAAACTTAACTCAACAAAGCAGTTGAACAAACACACCTAATCTGTCTCTCTAGATCACAAAGCTGGCTTTCAAACTTGCCTAACTTTGAGTTTTCCAATCCAAATATGAGTGTAATCTCATGAAACAGGCGAGGTTTTTAATTAAAAGCAAACTACATGCAACATCAACAGATCAAGAGCGGAGTGTTTAATATGAGGTAGGATGAAATGGTTGATACCTGTGGGAACATCAAGTTATTGTGTGGGCAGAAAATAATATTCAGTAGAGTAAAAGACCTACATGGAAATTACACAATAGGAACATTAAAAAAGCAATAAAAAAATAATCTTCTTCAAATATAAAAAAAACAATGTTTTCATCCAATCATCTCAGCTGGCAAAGATCATTTGCGCATGTCAGCCATGTTCAATATTTTTACTGGACAAACATGAGTTTTTTTGTTGCACTGCTATTGTCGGTCTGAAAGCAGCATAAGGACGGTGGGCGAGACATCTTCCCATAGCTGTATCTGCTCTTGATTGAATCCAGCTAAGAGGCAAAAGAGCAAACATTCCCTTAGGAATGAACAGCCTCTGCCAAACGAGCTGCATGATGATAATTGGATCTTTCCTTCTTTTGAATAACCATTATCAAGCAGTTAGCCAATCAGTTAAATTAAGTATTAAAGAAGAGAGCTACACATACAGGGGAAATTGGTTCAGAGTTGCAGGATTTGTGTCCTGGAGTGAACCTCACACAGTCAGAAAGTCCATCATGGTGACTTTCATTACTGTGGCTATGCGGTCTTGTTGTTTAAAGTGAAGAGCAATATTAACCCTACTGCCAAGTCACAACTTGCTATCTTTAGTCACTGGCAGTGATTATGAATATCACTTTGAGGAGAGCAGAAGGATTGGGGCTGGAGGCAATTTTACTCTAATAAACAACAAAGGTGCCTTATTTTTTTAATACATCAGCGCAAATATTCTTCTTTTGTGTTGTTTACTTATACAGGATATCGGTTACAAGATCATGTATTTTTTGAATATACTGTGAGTATGAGTTGGGCTGACAAGTGATACATTTCACATATCCAGCCCTAAGAAAGAGAATAGCTTTCTAAAGCACAGGTGAGATATAGCTCTCTATAATCTGTCCACAGTGACAGGTCTGATCAATACAGCAACCTTTGGCTACATCCTGAGACCAAGCAGTATTGTGGAACCTCCCCAGCAGTAAAGTTAGATCATTTTGTGCCCTGCCCTCTTATGTGTACTGTCTTCACCTGCATTATGAAGCTCTCGTTCTGAAACATATGAAGACATTTTTGTAACAAAACTCCTGAGCACTTGTGTGATGGAAACTGTATCTATAAGCAAAGAATCTCTGCATTTCCATGTATGTAACTCCCAGTGATTTGTATCGATAAAAGTTGCAGAGTAAATTATTTTCTCAAAACTTCCTGAAACCGTTTAACACAAACTCTCAGATCCTATACCACATTATGGAAATCACACACAAACATGTTTTTTTTAGTTACTGCTATATATATCAGGAAAATAAACTGTAAATCTGCATGGGAATGTAGGTAATTTGAGTACCAACCTATCCAGCACAAATGCAGGTCACTCCTGCCAACTGCTTCAATCTGCAACCTCTCAAATGGTTGTTTTCCACTCTCAAACAATGATTTCCACATGCCCTCAATTCTGTGCTTCTCTGAATGTGTCGCAAACATGATTGGATCTCTGGCAGAACAAGCTGGGAACTTATTTTTCCTGTTTCATGGTATTTTTTTTTATTTGCAAATACAAACTCTATTGCACTGGCACTGATAGATGCATTTGTATGTACTAATAAACTTATTTACACCCAACAGCATCAATTTTATCGTAAAAAAGTCACGTTTTTCAGCACATAAATTGAAAATTGAATGCATCCGACAGGCCGCTGCTTTGCAAAGTCATACAAAATTGGATGCAATCAAAAACAGGCATCCTAAAAATGGCAAACCCAGTAAAACTTAAAGATCTTCAAGTTTTCATAAACCAAAAGAATAAAATGGTGCTAAAATGGTGTAGGTGAAGACAACCAGGCTGCTAGAATACATTTTCAGGGCCAACAGGATGCATAAAACATTTATAATGTGAGGGGAGTTGGAGAGGGGTGCGTGAACAGGGACTCACAGTGTCTCCTATCTTCAAGTCGGCACACTTTCTGAGGCCTGGCAGCGGCTTTCCATCCTGGCAGGTGGCGGTGAAGGAAAGGCTGATGTCCTCTGGGTGATCCCACACCGACAGCTCCACTTTAGAACGGATGTTCTGAGGAGAAAACACCCAGGAGGACACAGAGTTTGTTGGTACATGTTAGGGATTCAGGGTTTTAAAACAGATTACTTTTGTTGCATGGTAAAATAAATCCTTCCAGGCTTCTCTGCAACACTGTGATTTCGAGCAGTTGCCATTGCGCACATTGACATTTTCCTCAAACTAAAGCCACATTAATTTCATGCCTTACTGACATATATGTTAAAACCACCTAAATGTATCTTTTCAGGCCTGTAAAAGAGTGAACATGGGGAATGTATTGCCTTGGTTAGGCACATTTTTATATTTAATTTAGCCAAAACCACAAATGACGTGCATGCAGGCAGGTTGCATGTGTGTGAATGTGAAATACCATGGCTGTTTGCAATGCCAGCTGAATCTGGCTCGGTGCAACATCTGCAGACCCAATCTGTAGGCATTCATGCACATTTTCTACAAAGTAACGGTGCCAAGGATAAATCAGGTACTTGGTGCACATGGATAAGCATGCCCTCATTCGCTCTCTCTCACACACACTTAAACTTTTCTGACCCTTAACATATTCACAGCAAGGAGCAACTTTGTGCCGCAGTCGGGCTTCAGGATAAATGAGCTGGTTACACAACGTAAACTCACAGTGTTTGGCAAAGCCTATCTAGCCAACAACCCTAGAGGAGTGGATATAATGTGGCAGCAGGAATGTTAATAAGGCCGTGAGTCAAAGCTCACTCCCACGCACTGAGCGTGTCATGTCTGCGTTTGACACAACTTTCTGATGCAGAAACTGCCATGGGTCAAAAGTAGATGCTGGTCCTCCTGACTGAGGCCAAAAAAAATCTGTACACCCACACAGGAAAACATTAAGGGAAAGGTTGACTACATACAGTACAGCTATTTGGTTTAAAAACAATACACACACACACACACACACACACACACACACAAAAAAAGGTATAGGACAGAAAATCAGATGAATATCAGGCTTCAGTTTAGGGGCCAGACAGAGAGAGGTGGAACATCCTAGAGATCAACCATAAATTAAAATTTGCTTGATATCAGTCCATATGGCATTCAAAGCAAAAGAAAATTAGCTGTTGCACACGTAGTACAATATTCCCAGTAAAAGTACTTTCACTGTAGTGCTTTTTACCTTCAACTGTTGGCTGAATCTCTCACTGTTGACTGTTTGGGTTATAACTGATAACATTTACTATAACTGGTACTTCCCTCATTCTATGCCTCTTTTTTCTGTTTCAATGATTTTGTAAAACAACCATTGCATTATTATTTTAGTTTTTAGAAGCATGTAAAGCCTGAAAAAGTAAACATGAGTTTGTGTAGCAGAATTGTTTCTGGTTCCCATCCTGTTGATCATTTGGTGACACCTCAGATTTATCTTGCCACACCTGATGAGGCCTTTACTCTAAATGTCACAAATCACACTTTCTCAGAGCCAACATGAAATCTTCAAAATGCTATGTTTTGTCTGACCAATGGTCCAAAACCAAAAGATATTCAATTTCCAACAAATCCTCACATTTGAGAAGCACTGAATGACACTTTTGCTCGGGAAGTGATTTAGAACGGAACGTTTCTGTGGAACAACTAATAGATTAATCATGTCTATCCCTATAAGAAATCTCACTATGAAAAGCATCTCATTTATTACAAAGTCAGCTGTTAAAACCACTGCATAACACCCCAACCTCACCACCAAAATGAGAAATCCAGCTTGTGTGCAACCACGCATGTCAACTGGAGGCTTATTAACTGTCACAGCAGTGGGAAGACTTTAAAAGAATTTGCCTCCGTTTTCCCTCCGCCTCGTCTTATCTTTCTTCTCAAATCCCACTGTGTAATTACTTGACTCTCTCTCTCACACACTCACACAAACAGGAAACCAGACGCACTGACAGTCAGACCGGCACAATTTCCTTTACTCACATTGTAAGCTGCGACGATCAACTGAATTACATTCTTAGAGTCCTGGTCCAGGATTTCTACTGTAGTTCCAGGTATGAGTGCAGTAAAATTCTTTGTAAGGGAAGAAACAAGATCAGCATTAGTTGTATTAATATAACAGAATAAGAAAAGCATGTGTCCATAAAGATAAAATGCTAAAATCAAAGTACCTTATAAATAACATAGAGCCGTTTTGTCACTGCAAAGATGAGAAAGATATTATTTTCTGCCAGTTTCTCCCCGAGAAGAGCCAAGAGGGATAGTCCTGTTGGGGGGGTGGGGGCGGGAGAGAGAGACATTATGGGTATTTTTGTCCACACATACTGTATATAGAGTTCCCAGTCTAGAAGCTAGTTTACAGATGTTCATGCTTTTCTGGTTGATGTGGTTTCTTCTTTTCGATAAGAGCCCATCGTTAGCACATTTCCGTATCACAAATAAAAAGCCTGAGAGCATTCGAGATTGCACTTTGAGACGAGATTATTTTCATTGGATGCTATTTAGTCCCTACTGAGATTTATTTCAGATGGAGCATGAAAAGAAATAGCAACAACTCCCAGTGATTTGTCTCAATTACCAATCCAACGCTCTGACTCAAAGACAGAAATGTGGATCAGTGTGTCCCACAAACATAAAGAGAAATATTTAAGGCATAACAATTTTCTCCTTTTATCACAGAATTTCTACACTGTTGCTCTTCTTTGACAAACACGCCAGGTAGGCTTTTGAAATTAAGCTTTTAGGCAATAAACCGGGAAAATTACAATCCTAATTAAATGGTAGCACAGTGCCATCTGCATGATATTGATCGATTTTTATAGGATTATTCATCCGGTATCTTCAGACACTGTATAAAACTTGTGTGATTTGTCTGCTTTTCCTGCTTGAGCTGACAAAAAAAATTCCACTGGTTCCTGATTAGCATTATACCTTATATCAAAAGTGCCCCACGGTATCCACAGGTCAGCTGGAAGAGTTTGGTTGAAAATGTGAGCTTTCAAAGAGAAATATTTGTACCTTTTTGTCCCTCTGCATGCTCTTGAGCTGAGTATTTACAAGTCAGCAGTCTATTCTGTGGTTTTACCTGGCCCTTCCCTCTGCAATTACCCACCATAGGCTGCTGCCAATAATAAGCATGTGTTCTTACTCAAGTTAAAACATTTTACTTCAGCTAATTTCATACAACTCTGGAGTAAGGACAGATTTAGCAAACATATTAGACATAAACTACTTAAATCAAGTGATGTAGACTGGATAAGAGGAATCCTCAAAAGGGTACGCCATCATAAACAACTACCTAAATCAAGGAAGGCTCCAAGTATTAGGCATATATATTAGACATTCTTTGAGTAAACATTGGAAATTAAAATGTCCATTCACAGCTGGAGCTGAGGTTAGCTGAGGTTTATTGAACAATGACAATGTGAGTCACAGTAAATCCCAGCTTTCAACTTTCTCATGGGATTTAAAGCTGCAGAGTGAATTTGCCCCAATAAGATGTAAGAGAAAAGTTTTCTCTAAAGGCTGTAAAGCCTATTCGTTTGTTAAAATAATAGTGGAGGGGTTCACTGCTTTGTTTGTGAGCCAAACAACAGAAAGGGCAGCTCTTCTTACCATCTTTGTGGAAGCGCTGTACTCGTTCTTGTCGTTGAGGTGACACTGTCCGTCGTGTGGCTGGACGAGGCCTCCCAGCCTGCCGTCCAGAGCAAGGTGAGGTACATCGTCTGTGGCAAACACCAGCAGGTGGTAGGCCTCCTTTCTCCAACCTATCTTCTCCTGTTAACAGGGTACAGCAGATAAGGACCCAAAAGAGCAACCAGCAGGCTGTGTATTTGAGTTCATGCCAAATGGTGGCAGTGGGAGTAGCATTCAACAAAAAGGCAGGTAACGTCTGAACAGATTCACGTAACATGACCAAACTTTGTAGAAAGACCACACACACACCATTTTGCCACGTTCACTTATGTAACTCATGAACCAATTGTTGTAAACACTAGTGGAGACGTCACTGGACTATGTAGCATTGCCTTTTCATTGTCCCACCCCTACACTTTAGCCAGGCCCCTTCGATAACTCAAGAACCATTTGTAGTAGACTCTTGCGAGGTTGTGTGTGAGTGGATTAATCAACATGTGGATGCATGCACATATGTGGTCGCAGCTATAGAGGAGGATTAAATTCAATCTTGTTGCTATTTGGCTTGGTTATTAGGATTACACCAAATGATTATCTGGAAAGGTTACTAATGCACACGTGTACAAATGTACATACACACCATACAACACATCACCACATTAATAAATGGCTTTATATCCTGGGTCATAATAGACCTCATCACTTCCCACAAGCTTGAGAACCACTGATCCAAACACATACAAAACAGTGGGGGTGGAACAGCCAGAGCTTTCTGCCACAGGCCCCGTCCTGGCTATTATCAATAGGAAACAACAGACAATGGCAAAGTGAGCATTTGACAGAGTGCTGACTAATGCACGACACTAAAGAAACAACATTTCAACCACCGAAGAGAGGGATTTTGTAATTCTTTTGTCACTATTTGGCCAGTACAGTATACAATAGAGCTGTGGATGCCCTTATCAGAGGCCTCTTTGAAGAGTTATTATAGCAAGTGTTTAGGAAAATGTTGTGTGAGAAGGTTAAGCTTTGCATCTAGGTGTGACATACACTGATGACTAACTTCTGTTTTTGAGGATACACAGTAAAAAAAGGAAGCACTTACGTTGCAAGGAAATAAACTGAAGGACAAGGCATGTGTATTAAAAAAGTTAAAAAAATGTCTGGTAGGATTTTAACATTATAAAAAGATGATAATTCGTTATTGTCTGCTTCTATGCATTTCATTTCCCTTTGTAAGATCCACATATTAAATATTACAAATTAAATAAATACTTCTAAGGCAATTTATTTAATGTCATATTCACATCAAATTGCTAAAAAAGAAAATCTACGATCAATCAGGCTTTCGGACAGACCCAGTACAGCGTCCTAACCAGTAAGTGTTTGAAATAGTGCAGCATGAGTAAATTACAAGGCAGGAGCTACTTGGAGGGAGTCATTCTCTTCCTGTAGAAAACAATTAAATTGGGAGAGGAAAAGCAGGGATATGACTGGGCCTGCAAGAGACAAGTCGTCATGTTTAACCAGCTGCACCAGACTGCACTTCCTGTCTATCCCCCCTGGTGCTTTTAATTAACAAGCAAATAAGCCAGGCGCTTGTCGCAGGCGCATCTCAGTCGTTTCACAGTGGCTTTCCCCTCCATCTAAACCAAATGTGTCCCATCACTACGTGCAGCCAAGTCAGGGTTCATTTAAAGGAAGCATTCCAAGAATCTCTAAAAGGTTCTACATAAATCTACTCAATAGAAGATGAATGTAAGCTTCTATAAAAAGAGATGAAGAATTGAGACACTTGTCACCTTACAAACAGCAGCCTGCAGGATAGCATCAAATCCGCCCTCTGGTGCGTCCCGGTTGCGAGAAACCATCTGCTTCTGCACCTCCTCGTTAAAACGGTCCACTTTATCGGTCAGTGAGAGGATGTGGCGGAATCCGAAGGTGGGGACACAGTTGGGGAACAGTTTGTATCTGTGCAGATTGACAGACAGCTAGAGATCAGAATAACATTCAAAACAACAAAACGTTTGGTCTTGTTTTATCTGTATTTATTTATTTATGCCTTTTATTTATCAAAACAAGATGTGCATCAATCCTAGCAGTATTACTTTAAGGGGTCACTGATCTGCAAAATGAGACATTCTTCAAGATTCAGTTGACCAAAATGTAGGCAGTTATCTTGTCTTGTAGAAAGACAGTGAGCAATGACGGAAGTGATTTGGGTTTCTTAGACGACAACATATTGACCTCTATCCCTTTAAATATTTTCCTGCTATGCTTCACTGTGTGTGACTGACACACACACACACACACACACACACACACACCCCAAAGCCATAACCTAGATGGGTAGTGATGCGCGATGGCAGGCGCTGAGTTAGTTCAGCGCAGTCTCACCTCCGGGGCAAACGTCGTGTGCCACAGCTTTATACCCTCTATTTATTCTGCTCCCTTTCAGTTTGCCCTCATAAACAACCCTGAGGAGTGCAGGATCATAGGGGTCATTTTGAAGAACTGCTTAATCACTTTGATTTATTAAATATGAAACATCTCTTCTTCAATTCCTGCCATTGCAGGATATCCAACTATACATGATTCATGAACGTGCAAAAATAGAACGTGCGGGTTAGAGTAAATGATTATTTTAGGACTTTCCTCCACAGTCTGCCTCTCCCAGGATTCATCTACAGGGCAACATTTACGTCACAAGAGAACAGTTCTTCCTCAGCTCAACCACACATACAGTCTTGTGTAAATTACATTGTGTTGGTCCATTAGAATTTCAATCAAAAAACAAAACACCATCCCACATAAACATGCAGTACACTCTGCTGCCACTACCCACCCACTGCACGGATTCTCCTGATACTTGGGTGCTGTGTAGGAGAAGGGGGACATGTTTTTGTCAACAAAGGAACCAAAGCCCAGCCGGAAGTTGCTGGTGAGCTTGCCCATTTCCTGGGCCAGCTTGGTGCCCAGGTTACGGATGGTGTCCAGATCATCTTTCATGGAAAGAGAGAGGTCCATCAGGTAGTAGAGATCCACTGGATAATCCTCCACTTGCCGCACCTGCACACCAAACCACGTCTGGTCTCCTGGATGGGCAGGTGGAAAGCCGTGTGTTTACTCACAAATCATGTAAGAGTTGAGAAAGAAAGCTCTTATGCTGGTGCAACAATTATCCCTCACTCTAAATATGTACAATACTTACCTGGCCGCAGGCTGAGAGAAATCTTCTGAGGCATAATCTGAACGACATTGTACTGAGCCGACCCGGACCCTTTAGAACTCAGGGGTATGTTCTGCAGGACTGAAAGGCTGCTAGTTGGGTACTCAATGAACCTTGCCTCGCAGCCCCTCTTCTGAAGGTTTTGACTAAAATCACACCTTGTCAGAGTCCGCCCCCTCCCAAAATCCTGAAAGATAGAAAGCCATAAACCTCGCATCAGTGATTGTCAGTGATTAACTCATAAAAACATGATAAAAGGTTGAAATATAATGAGACATGTGGCCTGGGGAAACATACAGCAGTGTTTAAATCCTGAAAATAATGCAGGTAAGCTATACCTCTTGTGCGCACCAGGCGCAACTGGGATGAATCAGGAGGCATTCTTCACAGGAGGTAGCGCTGCCACTCATACACAAGTTGAGACCTGAGAAAAGGCAGGCAAAGATCATAGACAGGGATGGTTATTGAGGCTGAAATGGAAAAATAATCACTAATATATTTCTCTAAGGACTTAAATTAGGGACCAGAAAAACACAGACCCCTGTGCACTGTAATTCAATTCCAATACTGACTGTAAAAATCATCTTTTTTGTTTTTGTTTGCGAGTGTGAGGGGTGTATTCAGCTCTGCTTGAAGCTGTAGTTTGTGGGGTTGCACTGGATGGCACTCTACCATAGGATGTTTCTAGTGTTTCTATTTACCTGTAGCCTATATGTTACTGAGACAGACAAAATGTTAGAGATGTCACAATATGCTACATGCAGTCCAATAAAACACAAACCGCAGCCACAAAAAAATACCAAATTGATCTGACACAGTGCCAACACTATAATATTCGCACAGGAAGTAGACATTGCATATTGCACAGCTGTTTTTTTTTTCCAGGTCAGTGTCTGTGGTACACGATGACATTTTCATGAGTGTTGCCATAAATTATAGTGCTTCAACATACAGGCCTATAGCGACCTATAAGCCTGTGGCATATTTAACTTATCTATATTAGACAATTACTTGGTTTAATGAGGGTCAGAGGTTAATGCTAGCAAATGTGTCTCTCTCTTCCACTGTAAAACGCCAGTAAACATACACAACCAAATGTTTACTTCTTTCTCTCGCGTCCATGTGGCTCCAGTTCACAGTAGCTCTAAAGACCGCGTGTGTCTGCACCAAACACGGGCTCGCCGGGCGATGCTGTTGTTGCACAAACAGGCTGATAGATGACACTAGAAAAATTATTGCAAAGCACACAAGCCTGCTTTGTCCTACCTCTAGCAGTGTGCAGAAACGTTTCCAGAAGCATGCAGCACAGAGCCGCTCGCCAGATCCACGTCCCCGGGCTCCACATGGTGTCACTCGGCGTGTTTATCAACGCTTTGTGAAATACCACAGTTTTATCTCTATTCGCAGTTCGCACCAATGTATTGTTTTACCATGAGACCTCTCATTGGATACAGTCCTGTTGATCTGGTGCAAATCACAACAGTAAAGTGTGCTCAGACCATATCAGCTCCACTGAAGCGTTTTTTCTAGGTTCAGACTGACGGGTCCGTGTAAAGGCAGGGACAGCCATCCATTGTTTTAAAGTAGGCAGAAAGGGAGCGCTCCACGCAGTCCTGTTGATCCACTTCTTGAACTCAAGCCCGCTGAGTTTTTGTGCCTGGACGCCTCTACGACTTTCCACGTCTTGACTACTTCACCCATAGCTGACAGCAACTCCAAAACTTCTCCATCGAGTTCACAGCATTTCTCGGTCTGATACAATCAGAATTTACGCACAAGTGAAGTGGGAGAGCAAAAAAGGCCCAACAGATGTACAAATACATGCACAGTGGTTTTCTTCTCCAGATTTGTTGCTTGCTCGGTTTGTCCGGTTCGCGTCCCAGCTGGAATCTCCGCCCAATCCCAGCTAGGGATTACATTAACCCATTCGTTGCTTTGTTAAACAGTTCGCACCATATTGCGGTTGACACCCGCACAGCCCTGAACGCAGTTGGAGCGGACACCTAGTGGTGGCTCCCCAGCACTGGTGCAGGACTAGCGATTTGTTGCTGGGGTGGACGGCAACATGACTAGCACATCAATTTCCTAGTTTGTTGGCTGCAACAAGCATTACAATACAATCCAGCTGAAGGTGATCAGGTTTAGTCCACCCCAAACTCTGTGGGCCAGAGGGAGCCATATTGAACTCGCTTACTACTGAATGAAAATTCAGCATTTGTAGTTTCATCATGGCTCCCTTTTGCTCCTCTTGTTGGCCATTGTGTCTGCAGTAAATACTCTATTAGTTTGGTTTATCCAATTAGAACTGTAAGTCAAAAAATGAGCACAACAAAGCTGAAGGTAATATATGTGTGTCCTTTTTATTTGACCAAGGACATAAAACAAAGCTCCTGCATACACACTACAACTGTGTGCAACTTAAATACCATTTTAGAAATCTATAAACTATTTTCTTTAAAACTAAATTTAACTGCCAAATAACTGGCAGAGGCACAGCGTGTAGCCCTCAACTTTCAATGTACCATCTTTTGAAGACAAAAAACTTTACTTGACTTTTTACTTTTACAAAAACAATCTGATGCTACTTGACAAGAACACAGACTGTCACACAACTTGTCAACTTATTACTTTTAGATAAATTGCTTCCCTCTTCTCGTAAAGAAAACTTGAGGGGTTATAATGCTTTTCTAACAAATTACTGGTACCAACTACCACATTTTAAAGCACGGAGCACTGCTCCTTCATAACTGTGTGGCACTTGCTGGCCTGGTCAGAAGCTCAGATATCATGTCCCTGATTGTCCTGAGAGGGAGGCCACTGAGGATGCCCTGGTGCTTGGCCTTCAGCTCGATTAGAGCATCAACAATTCTCTGCCTTCCAATGTCTGGGTGGCGCTGTGTCAGCTCTGCCATCAGGGTGTCGAAGCTGCTCATGGTGCCAAAGTGTTGGGGCACACAGGTTCCCTTTGCCGTGGGGGAGATGCAGACCACCTTCCTGTTCTTGATGCTGGAGCTAAATGGTGGCTGAATTATCCGCTAGAGACAGAAACCAAAGAGCAGCAGGATATCAATTCCAAAGCCATTATATTTTAGGCAATTTTTTAAAGCAGAGATGCTGACTTCAGATGCGTGGTATTTCTCAAACCTCAGCATCACATTACTCTGGCCAAGACAAAGTTGTAGGTACAGCCTGTACTGCCCTCTGCTGGTTGTAATGGTACTATACTTTTACCAACACCACATCAAGATAAACACATTACAAAATCTACATTGTGACATATATTAACACTGAATTACACATGACATCTATAACACTTATAACTCACCTCTGTCACATTACTGGTTAGGTTGGAAACACAGAGTGCTGATCTCTTGGCCTCCATGCTGGCTGGTTCTGTGGTTAAAACAAATTCACCACTAAGGATTTGATCCAAAATGAATTCAGAATCTCTACATTTGCAGCTTTAATCCTTTTGCTGCATTCGCTTACCATTGTTCTGATCTTTTAGGACCATTGTTGGGTCCTGTCCCGTCTCAGCAGCTACTGCAGGTCCTGCAAGCTCCAGGTCCTCTTCAGCATCATACCACGCCTCGCATGCTGCTGTTGTTCACACAAGAGAATGGCCCATCTTTGATTTTGATCAACTACTTCCCAGGTAATCATTTAAAAGTATGACAGGGACGCTTTTGCTTACAGGTCTGCTTCACTTCTTGTTTGTGCTCATGGGTAGCATCTCTATCTTGGGGGGGTAGAGTGACTGCTCTACTTACATTGCTGTTCTCCTGTTTTCCCTTTCTCTCACTGTGCTAGAAAAGAAATGAGGCAAACACGAAAGCTGTACAAACTAATGATGCCAAATTGGGTTCAATTAGCAACACTAAAGCAACACCAACATGCTAAAGTCTATCATCTGTAAGCATACCTGGCAGCCATTTCTGCTTTCATTATCAGGGCATCCATTTGCTTCATCTGATGTACGTTTCTGGGGCTCCTGGGAGTTCCTTGGGATCAGAAAAAAAACTAGAATCTAGAAAGTCAAATGCCTAGTCTGATAAACCGTTGAAATTAAATTACATCAGACACGCATGCATGTATGTGCAAACATACCAAGATGAAACATTTCCCAGCACATCACCAATAATCTAAACAGGGACAACAGAGAATTAGACCACTACTATTACAGCTGTGGTTAAAATATAGGACATTACCAAACAGTTTTAAGTATTTAGACATTATTGGGTTAGTATTACCTGTGCAGGAATGAAACTTGCTCCTATGGTTATCTTCTCAGAGTCAACAGAAAGAGGCTTAAGTTGCTGCAGAGGAACCCCTGCCAAGATCTTATCCTTCATCTGATTATAGTCGGATTCCAGTTTTTGCAGAACATTGACAAAGTTTGCTGGAGGTGTCTGTGGCCTACACAGATGGGGACAACAAAATAAATACTAGTTGACCTAAACAGCTGGCTTACCTTTGCATTGCATTACTTTTAATAAAGTATATCTTCTTATTCTTATGGTTTATCTTGTTATCCGTTTTATCATCTTTGCACTTGAGAAAGAACTTTGTAGAGTGCTCTTTAAATATAAAGATTAATAATAGTATATTATAAAAGTCCATCTGGATAAATATAAATATATAATGTTAGAGTTGTCTCAGTGGCTGAGCAAAGGTAAACACAGGTGATATCTGTTCAACATTGAGTGACGCCTCCTTACAATTCAGTGAGCTGGCCTCCCTCAACAGAGATATAGTAGAGCCTCCAGCAGTGCTGTCTGCACATGCTGTACTGCAGGGCCAGGAGGCACAGCTCTGCTTGCCGAGCACGATGGACACAGTCACATTCCTTTTTAAAACCCGAACTATATATATATAAAAAAAAATTAAAAAGCATATAAATAAAGATATAAGCTTACTGCAGAAGAAATTCCTTGTGGGCAAGTCTAACGTTCAACTGTGTGTATCTGATACATTACCTTTTCGCTTTTTGCTCTGCAAGTTCCTCTTTAGCCACCCTGAGTTTGATAAATTCCTGAAATGTAAAAAAGCGGTTGTGTGACGTTTTGCTGGAGCTACTTAAGACTGCTCTATGTGTTCAACCTTACCTCAGCGAGATAGTCCAGATCTGCCATGTGGACTTCAGTCATGAGATGCTTGTCAGATGTTGCTGGATCCTTAGTTTGGGTGAAAGCTGACTTACACGGTGGCAACTCGGTGCCAACTATAATGTCACAGGTAGTCATGCCAGGCATGGGCGAGGTGCATTTTTCTGCAGTGTTTATCTTGAGGACAGAGTGATTAGACTTCAAGGTCTCCCTGCTGGCTGTCAGTGCTTCAACATTAGTGGTCACTGGAACCCATTCAATGTGCGCTTTCATATCTTTGCTGGCCACACAGGCAAGTATGCTGTCATCGTCCTCCTTGATGCTGTGGAATTTGTCACTCGAAACCTCAAAACTTAAGCAAGCTTTAGCATCATCAAGAGGGTACTCATTACCATGGACCATGTAATCCTGACACCCTTCCTTTGTTTTATTTTCCTCATCTGGGTCCGGAAGAGAGCTGACCTGTTCTTGCTCAACTGTCTGTATCCTGCTGTCACTGCACTCTGTACCATCCATTTCAATATTGTCCAAAGTGTAGTACTCAGAAGGAGACTCGTTCACAAATGTGGGCCATTCTGACCTGTAACATTCAACAATGACACTCATATCAATATGAGTTCAACTTGTACAGTAGACCTGAAACAGTTTCATAAAAATATACTTACATGTGAACAGATCAAATACTTAGACATGTAATAACAGAAGTGCATTCATATTAAGACCTAATTAAGTAAAGAATATTTAACTACGAAATGGACACACGAGAAGTGAAATGTAATAAATGAAGTTAGATCAGAATCATAAATAAAAAAAGATGTGGTTTGTTCTGGTTTAGTTTAAAATGTCTAGATGGACATGGTTGAGCTGTAAGGAATTAACATTATTGTGTCAGATGGTCAGCTATAAGATGCATACTCACTTTAATGGACTGACTAGCTGTTCCTCATGTGGATGTTTTTGTGATCCATCCCAGCTGTTGCTACAGCCCATCATGAAAGTACTCCTCACATTAGTGGGGGGCGCCTCAACCTTTAGACGTGTATGGGGCACTGCTTGCAAGAGGAGCAAATAGTTGAAACTTTACTTGTATGAAAATTGAGCTTTCATACATACTTTCTACTAACAATTGTGGCTCATCAGATCAGGTGACAGTTATCCTGACAAAGTTGGTTATTATTCCATACTTAGTCCTAGACTAAAATGTTTTTCATTTATTTCTACATGTTGGTTAATCACCCCGGTAGTACAAAGTCACTGGACTGAAGTTTTAGACTTGTCACGAGTCACAGATTCAGTTACACTCCATTACCAGGCTCAATCATAGTACAGAAAACTGGCTCTACAAAACAATTCTAAATTTATTTATTTTTTGACAGAGTGCTACAAGTTTCTCACTGGTAGTAATACTGATGCTGGGTAAGTGATGTACCAGCTTTCCAGACAAAGTTTCTGTGCGTTGTGTGTCTTGTTTCTCTTTAAATAAATCAAGAGGATCACTGTCAGTGTATTAGATTTGGATTTTACCACATCTGTATTTTGCTCCTGACGTTCCAGACCTGAGAATAAAGCAGTTTCAACAATAAAACACTGTAAAATAAAAAATTCATAACTCATTTGATGTAGTGTGTTATCAATGCACTACATTTACTGGGAGACATACATTTGGTTGTTGGATGTTATGGTTTGCTGGGTGGGATGGGTCCTTTCAATGTCATCTGCATTGTTTGTAAATAGAAACAATGACATCATTGTTTAATTTGTACACAGCTATTAGACAATTAAAGCAGTTTAACTGAACTTACACTTCACAAAAACATGATGCGTAGACACTTCTAGGGCAGGATGTCTCTGCAGAAACCGATGAAACCCTCCTTCCTCTAGAAGAATGGATATTAAATATATTACATCTCACAATTTTCGCGCGCACACACACACACACACGAAGAGCAGGTCACCGTAATCCAATAAAAGGTTAAAACGTTGCCGAAATCAAGTGTTTCCTTGCCTAGGAGGGAGAAACAGGACTTGTTCCTGAAAAATGAAACTTAATATGCGTTTCAGCTTGAATACAAGGAAGATGAGATGGTACTGCATTTAACACCAACTTAAGGCAGACAGCAGGAATTCAATGGTTATACTATTGAAGGGGATGAGCAAAATATAACTATGATCTGTATAAAAATGGAACACAACAATTGATAATTTATCAGAGTTTATACGTATATGGAGAACACCAGTGGTCCTAGTATGAAACCCTGGGCACACCTTTTGATACAGGAAGTAAGCAAGAAGGAGATCCAGCAAATTGGGTTCTAGCTGACAAGTAATTTGAGAACCAACTTACCCAAATAAACCAGTATTGTAAAGTAGAGCTGCAATAGCTGTTAATTATTAATTCGATTAGTCAACTAGTCACAATTAAATATCTTTCAAGTGAATTACTGATCTCCAACACACAGCCTAATTAGCTAATGTTACCATTACGTGAATAAGGTTTACTATTCAGAATAAACACTGATCAACGCCAGCGGGATACCAGGGAAGACAAGACAGCGTTGGATACTCCTATAAAAGTCACTGATTTACTATTAACTTAAGAGCATTCTCTTAGTCAGCATCATCCATGAGACCTCAAAACCAAGAATGCAAAGAACTATGGAGAGGCTGCTCCAAGATAACGCCAGGCATCACCCAAAACAATAAGCTCATAATCTGATTTATTGCCAAGTAGGTTTTAACTTTAAAACGTTTAACTTTTTAAACAAAGATTTTTGCTTTGGAACTATATAAAATAAAAGCACATTAAAAGCAAGTATTATAACCACAACTGTACACTAACAATGTCATGTCAATTTAGAATAATAAAGCAACAGTCCCCTTCCATACTACTTCTGTAGTTTATTTTTCCGAAGTGCTTATATGTTTTATAAGTGGAGACTGTTCTGTAGGCTACATCACGAGCCAGATTTTCCTTGATTTACTTTAAACTAGGGTTGAAACAATTAATCGATTAAATCGATAAAATGGATTAATAAAATGCTTCGACACAAAGTCTTTGCATCGATGCCTTGTTTTAATCCATGTAATTTTACAGCACAGTGTTTCGCAGGGACATTTATTACGGTTGCACATCGCGCTTATGCTGTGAAAAACAACGTTTAACGGCGCTCGGCTGTGTCCATTAACGGCACTGAAATCATGATTGATTGTTGGGTTGAAGGCTAGCCAAAGTAAGCCGCAGTCCTCAGCTGAAAATGAACACACGTGCGTTTGTTGTTCTCCTTTTTGGGCCGTGAGTTGTAACCTCTCAGTCATGAGTTAACTGGGTGTCGGGGAGCTGCACCTTTTAACTCACCTGCAGCTCTCTCTGTAGCTCAGACAATCCCTGCTACCTGCGTGTGCTTATCCATCCTTCACCCAGATTCTTTGTCTTTAGAACTGTTATCTTTATAATAACAAACAGCAGCTGTTTCGTGTGCAGGATCGCTCATTTCCCATTTCACATGTGTTTTCTTGACAAAACGTGGTTTGGAGATCAGCGTCCGTTGACACAGCCGCTGTCAGCTCCTGTAGGGTGTGTGTGTATCCGTGTCACCGATCAGTCACGTAGTGTGACCGCCACAATGACTCAAGACTGCCGTCATATGACGGCAAGTTGTGTGAACGGCACGGCCATCGGCCGACACTGAAAGTTGTGTAGTCTGCACGAGCCTGTAGTATAACTTGTTTAGCACTCGGGTGATGTTTGTAAAGCAGCTATCTGGTTGTTGGTCTGATGTTTGCTGTATGACACACTATGAATTTCCAAAAGGACTAATAAATATCTATCACCTACAAACGTGCACAGCTCATCCCGTTACCACCGAGCAAAAGTACTTCTTAAACGACGCATCGATGAATTGTTGAAATAATCTATCGAAGCTTCGAATACTAAAATCATCGTTAGCTGCAGCCCTACTTTAAACAACGGTACGAACATTGAAACTATCTTGCATTTGCTGTCTTTCCTCTGTCGTTGCTGCTCTGTTGTTGCTGCTGGAGTGGCAACTGGGACCAGAGGGCTCTGTGGGCGGGACTGACCGGCTGGCTGGCACCGCTAACTCCACAAGCGCTTGTGGAGCTTCTCAACCCCAAAAACGTTTGAGCACATATTTGAATTCGCCATCAACTTTCGTAAAACTTTATATATATATATTTCATTCAAGTTCTACACAGTTGATTTCTTGTCTCAAAACCGCTCAAAAGTGTATTAATTAGTGATGAAATAGTACAAAAAAATCATTCTGCTGCTTTCCGCTTCTCACATGAATGCTTCTTGTGAGTAGTCTTACAGTCAAGCAGTCATGGCAAACATAACGATATTACCCCTAGTATTCCATGTAGAGCATTGCAGTTCAACCAGAAATGTTCTTAAAGAGGTGGTATTATGCTTTTTCCCTCTACTTTACCGAGTTATATTCCTTTTTGGGCATGTAATAGGTTTGCAAAGTGAAAAAGCCCAAAGTCCAGCCCAAAGGGAGTTCCCATTCCCACAGAAAACTCAGCTCTGAAATACTTGAAAACAGCTCATTTGTAGTCCAGCCGTTTCCCTTTCATGCCTGTGATGTCACAGGCAGGAAGGTCATTGTGCTGTGTTGTTTTCTGAAGCCTAACAAATGCTGTGACAGAACATTTTGTGTCTTAAAATTCTTCGAATTGGTTCAATAACAAACTTAGGACCTTAGCTAAAACAAATAATTTAGAGATCAGCCTGTATTTATTAACTGAGAGATCCCCTCCTTTTAGCAAAAGCGATTTCCATGTTATAATCTCATTGTTGGAAAGGGTAAGGTTAAAAATATGAGTAAAGAGGTTTTGCTATAATGTCTACTACTAACTTGAGAAAGTTAGGATCAAGCTTGTCAGGATCCAGCTGCTTTAAGGCTCTATGGACCTCTATCACATCAAGAGAAAATGGGCTGCCACCTAAATGTCCCTCCTCTATATTACACAGTGGTGAGAACATTTGGCACATGGCATTTAGATGAAATGACGGCAATATGCATTACTCTTTTCATCATTTGATTTACACTTAGTTTTAGTTTACATTTAGTCAAGAAAGGAAGGAGATTACTTTTTCCTAGTTTAAATATAATATATATATGCTCAATGATTAATAGATTATTTGATGTACTAAATGTCAGGGGGAAAAAAAGGGCAAAATGCCAGAGTCCAAGGTGACCTCACCAAAAACGTCTTTTAAGACTGACCAAAAAGTCCAAAAGCCAAAGACATTTCATTCACAATTATATAATGACGAAGGGAAATGGCAAATCCCCACATTGGAGAAGCTAGAACTAGAGAATGAATGGTATTCTGCCTGAAAAGTATCTTAATCCACTATCATAATTGTTTACAATTAATTTTCCAACTAACTAAACAATTAACCTGTCACCTGTAATGTTATATAGATTAGGGCACAAGCGGTCTCAGGCTTAGCATTACAGCCATACTCATCATCTGTTTTATTATCTCTGCACTTTTTATCTAAGCACTTTAGAGTGCTTAATAAATAAAGATTATAAATACTACATTATTACAAAAGTCCATCTGGATAATTATGTAAGAATTGTCTCGGTGGCTGAGCAAAGCTGTGGCGGTTTTGGGGAGGGGGGGCCAACAGGGGCCAGCGTCCCTGTAACACAGACCTTGGACCCCCCTATGGCCCCCCCGCTGAACGAAAAGTATATACAGCAGCCTCATTGAACTGCCGGCCGCTGGCCACATCCGCCCAGGCAAACTCCATGTGGCCCAGCACATAATCTAATAGATATAACAACAAACAAACTATATGTATAGTGAATGGAAGTCCCTAAAGAGTGAGCTATATCATTTCCTTATCATCATGGTTGAGTTTCATACATGTGCTGTACTGATCACCGCCAATCAAAGCTCCACATAACTATCCCACCTGCAGCATCTCCCGCTCCTCTGTGTCTGCAGAGCGCCTCCACACATGGATCGAAGTCAGCCAGCTGATCAGCGGACATTGACGACTACGCTGGTTTGTGTATGTATGTGTGTGCATTTGTTTCCAGTGAGCTATTAGTGACTTTGCTGTTGTAAATCATGTTGCTGCTCTAGAAACAACATTTAGTTCATAAAAAATGTTAAATTATTTTTTTTAATAAAATATGCAATTATGTAGTAATAAATAGGACTGATAAGAGCATCGATAAAGAACTGAACCAATAAGCATTACCAATATAAGTGTGTCAATAAATCCTAATGATGCCAACTCATGAGAAAATGTCCGGCCCATCTCTGTGTCCTGGTTTTAAAATCTGGCCCAATCGAATCTGTAATTGAATAGCCCTGGTTTGCATTGATCATAGTAATATATCTTCCTTGCAATGAAATTAAACTCTGCATTAAATTATGCAGCATTGTAGACAATATTTTGTCCTTGTAATCCATGTTTCCATTGCATGGATAGCCTTTGGATATTGCTGGAAATTGAAAATTAAGGAGTCCCCCTCCTTAAAGGGTAAATTATTATCATAACAATTTAATAATGCATTGCATTTAAACAGAACTTTTCATACACAAAAAGCGATAACATTAGCTTACTGGTCCTACCAGGCTGGACATGCAGTCTGCCTAAACATATATCCCCCTTTATAAAGCACAGATGATGGCCAACTATCAAGTATTTAATTTTGTGTTACTTCACATCAGGACTAATAACAGGGGTGAATATGGAGAAGTTTGTTGTTTCCCAACAAAAGTTATAGTGGGATACAAAATACAAACTGGGAAGTGTTGCATCAAAGAATATACTGTTGAGCTAAAGTTAACAGGAATGTGTTTTTTTTGTATGCTGTGATTTTATAAAACTATAAGTAAATTACTGAGAAGATCCTGTTACTGAAACAAATAACTAAGTTACTAAAACATTACATTATACTAAACGAGACATTTTTAAAGCTTGAACATTGCCTTTGTCTCTTTTGTCCTGGATTGAATGGGCCCCTCTGACAAAACAACTGGCCCCAGCCTGGCCCTCTTAATAAAATTGGTCTAGAACCGCCACTGGAGCAAAGGTAAACACAGGTAAAATCGGATCAATATTGAGTGGTCTTCTCACAATTTGGTGAGCTAGCCTCCCTCAACAGACATACAGTAGAGTCTGCAGCAGTGCTGTCTGCACGCTGTACTGCAGGGCCAGGAGGCACAGCTCTGTTTGCTGGGCAAGATGGACACAGTCACATTCCTTTTTGAATTGAAAACCCGAACTACAAAAAAATCTGAAACCTACCTAGTATTGTGTTTTTGTCCTCTGGAGACAAACCGAAATACCAACCCAACAGCTTTTGGTCAGACAAGGGAAGGTATTGATGATGTTCCACCAACTCAAATACAGACCTGTAACATGTATAGCTCTTGGTTATTCATAGTCATTCATGGTCACTTAAACACAGAGCATAATGATATAAGTTAGCTGCATACCTCTCCAGAAAGAATCTCCTTATCTTCTCTGTTGATGAAACCAGTTCGATACATTAATGACATCCTGGGCAACGTGTGTTATTGATAACAGGTTTACTAGGACACTATTGATTTAATATTATAACGTTACATTCAAAGTCCCATGCAGTAACGTTACCGTTATAGCAAAATTATTGGGATAGATTTTCAGACAACTGTCGCTTCGCTTCTTTTGGGCAAACCTAGCTAAATAAAGGTGTAACGTTACTTTACCGCGTAATTACTTCTAAACAGAAATACTGTCTTTAGTTAACTTACGTGGACATGGCTTTTCAATCACCGTGTTGTAAAAACAGGGTAACCCCGGCGACTGCTGCACCACCACGCCCGCATAGTCACACGCCAGGCACGATGGCCAAGGCACAGTCACCTGGTAGGGTAAAGTGACTGGAAAGCTGGGCCACACAGACTGAAAAACATTGGTTGAGTGCCCGACAAGCACAGTCGTTGAGGCCGACAAAGTGTTGGCGAATTAGTGTGACTCCGTTACAAGTGGAAATGTAACGTTAACCTACATTACGGTTAGCTAGCTTAACGGTTAGCTAACGTCAGCTAGCTAACGCACAAATTCTGCACCACAACACAAAGGACAACCGCCAAAGTTATCTAAAAACCGACTCTAACCCTTTAAATTAAGCGTTAAACGCCTTTACCTGCTGTGTTGTCATTTTCACCGTCGTTACAGAACGAGAGCAAGATATTCAGCCTTGCTTGTCGTCCTAGGTGCCAACTTAACGTTAACGTTACTTGTTATGGAGGCGGTGGCCAACGTTAAATTACCTAATGTTATTCAACACCTGGTAAATGTGCCAGTTAAGTTAAAGTCTGCCCACCAAAAAAATAGGAAATAAAACAGTTCCTCACTTCTGTGAACGTTAATCAACAAATCTTGTTTTTAACTATTTTCATAGAGTCTAACTTAACGTTATTTCTGAAGTGAAAGGAGACACAACTTTTATTTCACCATTTTAGGCAGACATCTCAGAGACTCACAACTATCTCCATCATTAGATACCACTTTTTAAAAATTATTATTCTGGTGAAAATAATAGTTATAACTCACCTCACACTGCCTGCCAGGCGGTGGCGCTACAGGTAGCAGTTCAGGGGTCTTCTGATTTGTTATGGCCAAACATGTGATTGCTTCACATTTAGCTTCAGTGAACACACCTTCACACTTCCCTAATCTCTGCCTCACATCTTCTCAGCTAAAGTGAAAGACATGAGGTTGTCACAAGTGCTCATGTAGCCACAGTGCCTTAACATGAAACTTCAATTAATAGCCCGAGCTTTTATTTGCTTCTATTATTGAACTCATCTTGCCTAATATGTCTTCTGCTTACCATACTGAAAATCTGAATTGTTTTCGTAAAAAATTAACTGCGATTGAATTGTAGAGAATCTAATGGATCTAACGATGTGTACCATATCCATACTGACAAAGATTTTAACATTTATTTTCAATCAATTTGACTGAGATGAGAAACTCACTCTCATACAGGACAAAACAATTTCCATGTACATTCCATGTGAAATAAATATTTCAAATTCCATTCTTTATCTGGAGTTGGGTTTTTTTTGGCTCTTGAATGATGCACTTTAAAACCTCACTTATGACATTGGAGTTATTGCTTTCCATAATAATTGCATTTCTTCTTCTATTTTCCTTTTATTACTATATCTGCCATTACTTTACTATTCAATTCTAACCCCACTTTTAATATCCATCCATCCATCCATCCATTGTCAACCGCTTATCCTGCGTACAGGGTCGCGGGGGGCTGGAGCCAATCCCAGCTGACATCAGGCACAAGGCGGGGTACACCCTGGACAGGTTGCCAGTCCATCGCAGGGCCACATATAGACGAACAACCACTCACGCTCACACCTAAGGACAACCTAGACATGCAAACTCCACACAGAAAGGCCGGGGCAACCGGGGTTTGAACCCACAACCTTCTTGCTGTGAGCCAGTGCTAACCACCGCACCACCATGCTGCCCCACTTTTAATATATGCAGTTAAAACATAAGATACAAGACACCAAACATTAGATATTTTCATAGATCTTACATTATGTTTAATAATTAAATATATACAGTTAGTGTATACTTTAATGCTGGAAAGCAAAAAACATTTTTTTTTAGAATTTACAATAGACCAAACTCTATACATTACCATTTTACAGTGATTACAAGGAAAGAAATGCATTGCAGTGGTGGTGAAGTGACCAGCAGTTATGTTGCAGTGCCACTCACTGTGACAATGTTGTATAAGAAGAGATGTTTAGTAACACATTGAATGGATTTAGTGAACCATATAAACATTTGAACTCAATGCTAACTGCATTAATTTTGCTGAATGTAAGCACAGAGTTTTGTGTGTGAAAGAAATAATTAAGTAAAGCTGTTTTGTTCAAATTAAAAGTTTAGCACATTGACAAACAAGAGCCAAATAGTATAATCCACAGTACTGACCTACCTTGGTGAGTTTCTGACATGATATTGTAGAGCCACACAAACAGAGCTGAATAACTCTGGTCTAGCTCAAACTTCTCCTGCATCTGGCTCACACAGAGAACCCTTACTGAAGAGAAAGTTTGTCAACAATTGCATCATTCAATACATCACGCTTTCTCAAAAGGAAACTCATATTTGAAATAAAGTTTACAGTAAAGTTTCAGTCTCCATTCACTGATTGCTAGTGGTCAACACCCCCGCGCACCATTCTGGTATCCTGCTGTTGTTGTGGTTCTCTCCCAAAAGCCACACTGAAGACAATTATATAATTGTGACGTCAACATGTTTAAAATTCAGAGATTTAAATGTAGCGACTGTGTTGTTGTGCCACCAGCCAGGACATATTCATGTCCCAATCTGAGTGCTACATTTTATTTTGTGCTTTTCAGTTCAGTTCACCAGCTTTGTTTGTCCGTTGTGGAAATTGAATGCGCAGCTAAGAGTGAAAAACACATATTACAACAGCTTCATTTCTCAACTCCCACACGACTACACCCACGACAGAAAGAAAGCTGCAGCCTGTAAAACTGCAATAAGGAACACTTTGTCCATCTACTGCAAAGTGTTGTTTACACTTGATATCCAGTGTACAGATGTTTGACTGTTTATGTTGTTAAGACAGTGATGCAGCTTTCAGTTTCATGGTTAGCTTCTGGTACTACATAATGAACATACCATCTGCATGTCACAAAGTCCATTTCACTCCAGTAAAACTGAAACAAAATGGCAAAACATGTACCTCAAATGTTTTGGCTGGATTGTGTATTATAATTATCAGCAATAAGGAAGAGCCAACAACACAAGCCACATTGTTGCAAGGTGAAATAATACTGAGAGCTATAAAATCCATTTAAAGAGTGACAACAAACTTTAACAATGATGTACTTTTAAACTTGGCTGATGAAATAGTTCAATGTTTATAGACCAGTGCATTATTTACTTATACCATTTAATTTAGTAGGAAATAATGTATTTTGGGACACATCCAATCCCAAAACCCAGATGCTGGTCGCCTATTAAATTTACTGAGGCTTGTCCACATTTGCATCACCTCATACAAGCTGAAGTCAAAACAATCTAACCACGCGGCCCATTTTGTAGCTGTTCTGAGGAAGAGGATGTGTCATGTGATAAATTTTTAAAAGTGCTTAAAAATATTCATATTTAAACTTCTACAATACCTCGACAACCTTCTGCTGAGGAAGATTGTGATGGTGTGCAAGTGAAAGCCCCAGAACGTATTCTAAATGGACCTGGTGGTGGTAAGATTGTTTTGTCAACTACTGTCACCAAGCCAACCGTGTGATTAATAGCCCATTCAACCCATACACAGTACGGAACAATGGTCACAAACTAAATGTAGATGGGCTCTAACATGCATCGGACATGATGATATTGTGTCTTGAAAAGAACACAATATACAGTATAGTCTTATACAAAGGATTCAGTGTACAGTATATAGTGGATGTGTGAATGATTCAAATGCAGGGGGAATCTTCAACCATACAGGAAGTGCTGAAAACATGCTTTGTGTAGAGAAAACAAAGGACTTACTGGGTTGTTTGGTACCTAGTGACAGTTGCCATGACGGAAGAAGTACAAAGAAGAAAGCACCATGTCCAAAAACTCAATTGTGAAAGCTGAAAATCCAAAGAAAAGGATCACGCAGCCATGTGACAGCACTGGCTGGAGGTGCAGCACAAAACACATAAAGGTGAACAAAAGGTGACTTTGAAAGCTCATTTTTAACCCTGCAAACAGACGTTAACAAAGCAATCTCACCATAAGACTCATTAAGTGGCTGTTATATAGTGTATAGTATGTCATATCACACAATCCTACTCAGCAGATGGAGTAGCCCAGTTATCATGGAGTTAACAAGAAAGAGTGCAAACACATTTTGGGCTTTTTAAACATGCATATGTTAGAGTGAGAAAAGCATTTCTGGACTGTAGTTTCTCATTGGACCTGGCCAAAACTTCCTAACCCAAACTCATGTGTTCTTTACTTACATTTTGTAGGCTGTGTATGTATATTACTGTCCTGTATGCAAGATATCCTAGTGCTCATTTTCTAGTAAGACAGGTATGCGTCCACTAGAGGGCAGCCACGTTAAATGTAAAAATAAATATGAGCTTTCACTAAAATCTGAAATAAATAGTGACTTGTGGGTGGTGTGTGTTTGTGTGCATGGTTGTGAGAAATCAGTTATGTAACAGAGGAGCAAGGTCTCACCATGGTAATTAGCATTGTGTGAACACAGCTTGTTGGCCAAATAATGTGAAAGATTTGTACTGTTCCCTTTCCTGGCAGCATGACCCATATTTCTCAGTAGTCGTAGCGAGCCAGAACAGGGTGGTTCACTCTCTCAAACTACAGTTGATGGAGGCTTTGTGTTTGTGTGTGTGTGTGTGTGTGTGTTGACGCACTGTGTGCCTGCCATGTCAAGATTCAAAGCTGAAACCACATATATGCTTTGAGCCTTGCCTTTTCTTGTATCTGGATCAATAATTTACTTGGAAGCAGCTAGTGGTCATGTGGCATAATGTATGCTGAAGGACTACCCAGTTGGTATGTCCACTTTTCTCCCTGCTCAAGCCCAGTGTCAAGAATCAAGCACTCTGTAATAGTATATGTATTGATTTAGTGTGATGTTTATGATACAACCTTGATTGTTTCATATGTGCTAAATCATGTCTCCAACAGGTATACATTCTGTCCACACCTTATTGTTATCCTTTGGCAGGTTAATAAGTGGCACTGGACAAGCAGGAGGACTTTTGTATTGATGATGGAGCTTTTCCAAGGTGATGGGATATTTCCAAAGCCTCAAGCTCCTGTTAAATAGATCAGGATCATTATATAGGGCTCATGGCCTTATCTTGACTGGATAGAAGGTTTCTTTTGGGGGGAAGGAAAGCAAGAGACGAATATTTTTGTGCTGTGAAAATTAACTGACTTTTCCTCTCCATCACGAGGTGGACATTTATGGTTTTGAGTGAAATGGTATGACAACTAATTGATAGCTTGCCGTGAAATTTGGTACAAACATTCATGCTTCCCACAGAACAAATTTTCATCCGGAATTCCATCTTGCACCGCCATTTGGTCAATATTTGAAGGTGTCCAATACTTGACCACATGACATTCCTATTATCTTCACCTGTACTTTGGGTTTAGTCCTTATTAGCTAATGTTTGGATGCCAACTAAACTATCCTAAACTAACATGGTCAGCATGGTTAACATTATACCAGCTAAACATCACCATGTACATTGTCAT